AGTCTGTCCCTATCCCTGCTGACTCGCTCTGAACACACCAAGCCCCCAGTCCCTGGGCAGCAAGGCGGCGGGCCCAACCCAGGCCCCAAATAGAGGCCACACGCACCTCTGAAGGCACAGAATGGGGACAAAGACAAAGGCTTTTGTGCACCAGAGGATCTTCCAGCTGCTGGGACAAGGTGGCCAAATCCCCTGGCTGTATGGTGCCAGGCCTGGGCACTCCTCACTTCCGACCACACAAGCCCCCAGTCCCTGGGCAGCAAGGCGGCGGGCCCAACCCAGGCCCCAAATAGAGGCCACACGCACCTCTGAAGGCACAGAATGGGGACAAAGACAAAGGCTTTTGTGCACCAGAGGATCTTCCAGCTGCTGGGACAAGGTGGCCAAATCCCCTGGCTGTATGGTGCCAGGCCTGGGCACTCCTCACTTCCGACCACACCTTGGGGCTGCCGCTGGGGGATGGAGGAGGTCCCTGAACCTGGGAGCTTTAAGGGAGAGGAGAGCATGCTTCACTCTGGAAGGGCCCTCGCCCCCCCAGTCCCCATGGACAAATGATTCAAGAGGCATCTTTACAGAAACTGCAGCAGCCACCCCCACTCCCAGCCCCCCGGGCACAAGCCTACCTTATCCAGGAAGCACAGCTTGTCCCTGGTCTTGGCGTCCAGGATCTCCACCTCAAAGAAAAGAACAGCCTTTTTAGATTTCTTGGCCTTGGGGTGACGCTTCAGCCCGATGCCGTTGAGACCCATCTGGTGGGGTTGGCCCCCCTCCAGGGGCACCGCATTCATGTCCATGCCTTTCCACAAGTCTTCCAAGCAAACGCTGGGAGCGTGTGGAGCCAGGGGCCAGGGACTCAACCCTGCAGCTCTGCCCTGGCTGTCCCAGTCAGTGGATTCCTAAGGGAGATACTTCTCCAAGGCTCAGCAAGATCTCCCCTTGCTCTGGGAGGATTCCAGAGGCCGCCCCTCCAACGGGACCCAGCTCGGCCGGCTGAGGTCTGCTCTGCAGGCTGATTCCGAGGCGTAATCCGATAGCACAGGGAGGTGAACTGCTACCCTACCCAGCTAAATATAAAACTGCACCCAGCTCCTCACAAGCAGCTCCTACCAGGGGCTTTTTAAGGCACTGCCATTGCTCTGGGAGATAAACACAGAATGCTGGGATTTGTCAGTCACATCAAGACTTCACACCACCCCTGATAAATGAGCTACTGCAGGCTACAATGTACCCCGCCTGGCACAAGCCTCTGTGTCCGGAAGCATCCAGGAGCGGATCAGGTGCTAATCTCACATCAGCAAGAGTTTGTGTTCCTGTGACATCTATTTGTCAGTATTATCACCACGTGCAGAGGGCACAGTCAGGAAAGAGGCTCTATCTGTATAACAACGAGCATGATATGAACTAAACAGCCATCTCTCCCCTGCAGTACTCTGTAATGGTTTTGTTTGAAGCAACCCAAGAGACTGATGGACTTCTTCTGCTACTTAAAAGAATGGCATGCATAATTCACCTGTGAAACTCTCTGCTGCAGGATATAATTGAGACAAGAGGGCCAAGAGTTTTAAAATACATAACTAGGCATTTATAAAAGTTGCCTCTGAAATTACACTGGCTACTATAAATCCTCCCACTCAAAGGCAAAAGCTGCTCATTGTGTTCACAAATATCTCCAGCCTCGCTAAAAGGAAATGGCATTACAGGAAATGGTGGATGTGGCATAGGCCAGCAGTCCTCAACCTGTGGTTCAGAATCCCCAAAGTGGGTTACAACCCTGTTTTAATGGGGTTGCCAGGGCTGGCATTAGCTTGCTGGAGCCTGGGGTAGTCCAAGCCTCACTGATCAGGGCTGAAGACACCTCCCACCCCTGGCTTCCGGGCTCAGATTTGGTCCCCTTTCCAGGGGTGATGTAATAATCTCTATTGTCAGACGGAGGCTGCAGTGCAATGAAGTGAGAGAGACCCTGGGATAGACACATTATACCATGTGAAGCAGCTAGCACTGGCCACCATCAGAGACATAACCCAGTACTGGATGGATCCCTATTCTCACCTCACCTGTCCTTAACACCCCCCATCCCCAGCAAATCAAAGCCTAAGAAGCTTTGTACTGACAAGTTAGGGCAGGGGTGGGCAATAATTTTTAATGGAGGGCCACTCAAAGATTTTGGCAAGTGGTCAAGGGCCACACTTCTCTGCGGAGGGGGAGTGGGGTCTGGGATGGAGGTTGGGTGCAGCAAGAGCTTGAGGTAGGGGACCGGGGTGCAGGAGGTGGTGTGGGGTCTGCGAGGGCGTTTGGATGAAGGCAGGGGTTGTGATCTGGGGCAGCAGCTTGGGGTTCAGGGTCCAGGAGGGGGTATGGATGCAGGAGAGGATTCTGGACTGTAGGAGGGGGGTTAGGAGGGGGTACAGGGTCTGGGAGGAGGGAATGGGGTACAGAGAGCTTGGGTGGTGGCCTGGGGTAGGTAGCTGGAGGGGAGAGAGGGGATGGGGTGCTAGAGATGGGCTCTGGCTGGGAGGCACTTACCTAGGTGGCTCCCAGCCAGCAGCCCTGCAGGAGCCTGAGGCAGGCTGTCTGCTGCGGTCCCAGGCTCGTGGGCTGACTGCACCCCGTGGCTCTGCCTCGGGCATTGCGGAAGGGGGAGAGAGGGAGGCTTCACACGCTCCCCTGCCCCCAGCAAAATTTCTTGGCTCCTATTGGCAGGAAACCAGCCAATATGAGAGGAGAGAGATTTTGCAGAGAGATTTAGCCTCCAGAACAGCCAGCTGTTTAAAGCATGAACTGCTCTCTGCCTAAGGGTGCAGGGAAACGGCCGTGGGTCAGATCTGGTGGCTTGGCAGGCTGGATCCGGCCCACTAGCCACCTCTTACCTCCCCCCACCCCATTCCGGATTAGAGCCTCGCTTTTGGCAAGGAAATCATACAGAAATACCACTGCTAACACCTTGACAACTCCACCAGTGCCAACAGTGGGAACACTGGGGCAGAGGTGGGCTGTCCCTAGCATTTTATCACTGGGCTGCTTAGACCTCCTCTGAGCAGGGTTAGACGAGATGACGCTTAAAAACGCCCAAGCCAGCAGACAAAACATTTCCACTAGGGTTCTGGTGCTGCTAACACACACGATGTTGACTCCTGGATTAAGCAGAAAAGCATTTTCATAAAGCTAAGCCTGAGCAGGGATTTCTCCCCAAAGAGGAAGTATTTGCCTCTTACTCTTAAGGGTGTGGGACATGACACTTGGGCAGTGATTAGGGATGGGAAGGTCTAGCTGGTTAACCAGTGAGCCTCACCCTTCGTGAATCAGGCTTGCCAGTTAGGGTTAACTAATGGGAGCTGGAGCGGCTCCCTGCCTGCCCCAGGCCCAGGCACCCTGCCTGCCCCTTGTAATTGGGCACCGAGAGCAAGGACTGGTGGCTGAAAACAAACTTTATGGGACTGTGGGAAATTTGGCCACACCCATGAGAAGTGGGTATCCGGCTCACTAACATGCTGGACCAGAGTGGCGGGCTAGAGAGGTTTAACCTGTAGTTACATGTTTTAGATCAACGGTAGGGAACCTCAGGCCCAGGGGCCAGATGCGGCCCCCAACCTGTCTGGATCCGGTCCCCAAAAGGCTCAGGGTCTCCCCTGTATTGGGGAGCCTGCGCTGGCACTCCAGCCCACCTGGATGGGCCCCCATAGGTTTTGTTGTGTGAGGGAAATGTGGGGAGTGTCTTTCTCCTCAGTCAGGTGCCATATCAATAGGAGGGTTTTGTGTGCGGCCCCTGACTGATTTCTCCATGGGCCAGTGCCCCCCCCCCCACCCAAAAAAGATTCCCTGGCCCTGTTTTAGATAACAAAGATCTATCTCTTCCTCCGGGTGTGCTTGGGGGTCCCCAAGGTGGAGGGGAGAGGATACAAAATTACAGCAGAATGAAGTTTATTCCTGAGATTTCAGAGGTGCAACTCCAAGTAAAGTCAACGAAAAGAAGCCTGACCCTTGGAACTAGGTGTGTTCCTACCCATGACAAAGGCAGTGCGCATGGTGGAGAGAGCACAGGGAAAATCTTGGCAGGTCTGCTTGGAACACAGCAAGGGGTTACTGCAGGAGCTTCCGTATTTGGTAGCTGAAGAAAGGATTCCCAATAGCCTTGAACCAAAAAAGGCCTCGCCAGCAGCGAGCAGAGCAGGAAGTCCAGAGGTCAGGCCTGTTCACTCTCCCCTGGATGCTTTGACATCAGCAATCAAGAACTGGCCTCAGGAGACTTGGGATCTATTCCTTGCTCTGACACCAGCCTACTCCATAATCCTGGGCAAGTCACTTCCGATCTGCAAACCTCTGTCTTCCCTCCCTCCATGTGCCTGGTCTATAGACTACCTGGGAAGAGGAGGGGTCTTTATTCCAGGCTGATCTACACTGGCACAGCTGTGCTGTTGTAGCACTTTGGTTAGGATTGCCAGGTATCTAGTTTTTGAAAAGGGACACTGGCAGCTCTGCTCAGCAGTGCTGATTGGGCCACTAAAAGTCTGGTCAGCGACACCACGGATCAAAGGCAGGTTCCCTGGCTCCAGGAAACAACTGGCACATCTGGCTCATAGGCGCTGCCCCCTCTCAAACTCTGTGTGCTACGCCCATCCCCAACGCTGGCTCTGCAGCTCCCATTGGCAGGAATAGTAGCCAACTGGAGCTGCAGGGGTAGGCAGAGCATAGAGTCCTCGGTCCTCTAAGCTTAGGAGCTGTACATGCCAGGTGCTTCTAGGAGCTGCCTGAAGTGAGTGTTGCCCAGCCAAGCCCACACCCTAAAACCCCTCCCACACCCAAACCTGAGCCCTCTTCCATACTCACTCTCTCCTGGAGCCTCTCATCCCTTGCTCCACCCCAGAGCCGCACACCCTCCCACACCCAACCGCCTGCACCAGCCCAGGGAAAGCAAGGAGGGTGGAGGAGGGCAAGCAATGCAGGGCAGGGGAAATGAAGTGAGTGGGAGGTGCACCTTGGGAAAGCACAGGGCATAGATTGGGGCAAGGGTGCTCAGTTTTGTGCAATTAGAAAGTTGGCAAACCTAACTCCAGTGGAGACACTGCTGCGCCAATGAGAGTGCTTCTCCTGCCACCGTTAACCGTGAGGCGGTAGCTATGGCAACGGGAGAAACCCTCCTGTTGACACAATGCTGTCGACACCAGGGGCTAGAGGCCAGTGTAACTGCACTGCTCAGGGTGTGGACTCATCCTCTTGAGTGACACAGTTATGCTGACAGAAGTGCAAACCTGGCCTCGGGCTGTACATGGTTTAGCACAATGAGGCCCTGATCTCAGTTGGAGCCGCTAGTTCAGTGGTGGGCAACCTATGGCCCATGCACCTCATGCAACCCACTGGGATTCCATCTGCAGCCCACGCACCCCATCTGCCCCTTCCCCACATGCCTCTCACGCAATGGGGCATTGGAGCTCCACGCGTCCTACTCATCCCCTCCTCCCAGCACTTTCGGAGCCCTGTGAATCAGCTGGAGGGAAGAGGGGAAAAAAATCAAGGACGTAGCACTAACCAGTAGATTCATGGCACTTAGAAAGCGCAGGGTTCCGGTGCCCCAGTGCGCAAAAGGGGCATAGCATGGGAAAGGAGAATGGGGGGGAAGTGGAACCCCCGTGGCACAAAAGGGGCATGGCATGCGGAAGGGGAATGGGGGGGAAGTGGA